CTATGAATATGTGTGAGGACCATCCTTATGTCAGGGGACGAGCCATTCCTGAGGAGGAGAACGGCTGCTTAGAAGGCTAATTGTTGAGCCCACTCTCCTCCATTTCTGTTAGATAAGGCCTCTCTGGCCACCTGGGTTGAATGGAAGGAATCTATATGAGAAAGGTAGTATCTTCAATGCTTTCGGATTTTAAAAATATCAGCCAGCATATGGAATAGCATTCAGAAACACTCAGTGCATCTCTCACAGGCATGGTACACTTTGGCAATACCAAAGCTGACCAGTGAGCATGAGGACTGCTGTTCTAGATCAGCTGAAGTTTCTGGATGGTCTTTAAGAGCAGCCCCATCTAGAGTGAATCTGATTGGGAGATAATAAGAGCATGAGCGACCACCCTTAGAGCATGCTGTTTCAGAATGTTTAGAAGTAGCAACTAAATCAGGGGTCTTCAAACTTGGCCCTTTTATGACTTGTGGACTTCAACTCCCAGAATTCCTCAGCCAGCATGGTTGAGCATGGGGCCAAGTTTGAAGACCCCTGAACTAAATGCATGGCGCTATCTATGGCTATTTATGGCTTCAAAGCCCCCGAGTCTCGTATCCTTCTTAGTTTCTTAATCAGTTACCTCTAGGATCATGAGTGATCAGAAACATATATCTGTATATTCTTAGCACCAGGATCATGAGTGATCAGAAAAAAGTATCTGTATATTCTTACTATACGTAGACTGTATCTGTACATTAAGATCTATCTATGTGCTGTGCATCGTCCACAGCTTATCCCACCTCTTAATTTTTGGGTAGAATTTTTTTTTTCATACAGCATAAATTATTTAGACATTAACTTTTTAAATCCAATAAATGCACTTCAGTTATTCAAGGTTTTTTTTTTTTAATCCAAATGATGGCTTCTTATTCCTCTCTAATTCTTAAATCCATTATTTTCAGTTTTTCCCTTCTGAGTCTGAAAAATGTGCATGCTCAGACAAACAAGACACAGCACGATAACACACTTGCTGTACCACCCTACCCAGAATACTTTGAAGTGTTTGGTATCAGAAGCTTTCCATTAGAAAGTTCCTCACTTTTTATACTAGCAATGTTGTGATAGTCCTAATAAATCAACTTGTAAAACTTAACTCCTGCATGCAATGTGGTTCAAGGGAAGAGAAATTTAAAATGATTTTTTTCTTTTGCCTGACTCTTGAGTTATTACCCAACTTAATCTTTTTTTTTTTTTAAATTTCACATTCAGGAGAGGGTTTGTTTTTGGACTCTGGAGTGCCTGTGCATCAGTGGGTAACATCCTTGGAGCATTTCTCGCCTCTTCGGTTCTGCAGTATGGCTATGAGGTGGGTGAAGCTGCCTGCTGCCATTGTCCTACCTGCATTGGAGCCTGTCATATTCTATAGAGCATGAATTTTTATTTATTGAACTTATCAACGTTTCTCTGTGGTTTCCAGTTAAAATATGTTGGGACTTCCTATACAAGCAAAAATAAAATACTTAGAAAGGAAGGATTGAGAAGATGGATAGATTATATTCAGAGAAAATATGAACTGAATAATTATCATGTAGCTTTTGATTAAAAAAATTTCTTTTTTATAAACATATATAAAAACAAATAATTGTTATATTTATAAAATTTGTATGAATTTTAATGTTATTTTAGAGTCACAGTAAGTTTATACTAGTGTGTTGTAACAATGAGTAGCTTTGGATAGAATGGGATTATTGTGTGTTTACTACCTGGTTCAGCTCTGGGAAGTCCGGGGGGAGGGGGAGGGGGGAAAGGGAATAGATAGATGTATATAAACTGATGTATTGTAGATTTATATATGTGATACTTTTTTAAGGAGGTGCCCGGTGGATACCCCAACTGCACCAGACGGGATGGTTGACAGAGGAAGGGAAGTAGGAGAGAGGGAGGAAGGAGGAGAGGTTGAGGTTAGGGAGGAGGAAGGTATGGAAAGTGAAAGAGGGGGGTGCAAGGGGGGGCACCGGACACTTCCATGAATGTATTGAGTAGTGTTATTTTTTTTGGTTCATATTGTGATTAACTGCATCATATTTATGTTATTGTTTCTAATTGAAAAATCAATAAAATTTTATAAAATAAATAAATAAATAAATAAAAAATTAAAAAAAATGAAAGGAAGGATTAATTGCTTGACTTAAGATGAGAAAATCCAGGAGAGATCCAGAAAATATCTTAATTGGGTTGTTTTTTTTTACCCCTTTTTAGTATGCCTTCTTGGTGACAGCATCAGTACAATTTGCTGGAGGAGTTATTGTCTTTTTTGGCCTTGTGATTTCTCCCAAAGAAGTAGGTAAGTAGAAGCATCATTTGGCTCGTTTTGTCTTTGCGGCTTGCAAACCCAAATTGCAAGAAGTGCATACTTAATTTTTGACTTGGCACTCCACTCAAAATCCATATTAAATATTAAAAACCTCATTAGATACTGGCATTAAGGGCAAGTTTTTTTTTTAATTTAACACGTGTACAGGTAGTCCTCGATTTACAACCGTTTGTTTAGTGACCATTCAAAATTACAATGGCACTGAAAAATGTGACTTATGACTGTTTTTCAAAGTTAGGACCTTTGCAGCATCCCCATGATCATCTGATCAAAATTCAGACGCTTGGCATCTGGCTCATATTTATGACCTTTGCTGTGTCCCGGGGTCATGTGATTTGCTTTTGCAAACCTTCTGACAAGCAAAGTCAATGGGGAAACCAGATTCACTTAACAACCGGGTTACTAATTTATCAACTGCAGTGATTCACTTAACAACCGTGGCAAGAAAGGTCGTAAACTGGGGCAAAATTCACTTAACAAATGTCTCACTCAACAACAGAAATTTTGAGCTCAATTGTGGTCGTAAGTCGAGGACTACCTGTATTGTATATTCTGCCTTTATAACAAGTCTAAATTGGTCAACAGAAAACAAAATGGTATACACCTAGATAGAATGACATTTTTGAACTTCATAACTAAAAAAGCAACTGCAACAACAATAATGACTGTCATTATCTTGATGGTTGTAAAGTGAACTGTTTTACAGACGTTAAGACGTAGACTTTGGTCCGACCACTGGGTGTCATGTCTTGATTGAAAATTACCCCGACAACACCGGACCATCTGATAAAGTCTCACCTGAGTGTAAATAATGTGGACGCAAGAAGTCTCGTTGAAGGAATCTTAAGTAAAAACCAGTATTAACCGCCAAGAAGCAGAGGAAGCTGCAAAGTACTTTAAAGTGGGCTCTATGACTTTGAGCTCCAAAGCCTGAAACCTTTTGGTAAGTGCTGCATATGGAGTCAAACGACAGGAAACCCTGGATGCATCTGATAAGATGGGATTTCTATCCTGATATAAGGCACTCTCTATGGATTTGTTAGTGTGCAGGTCTCTGCAGTGAATCCAAAGTATGGGTGTCATATATACCACCTTCTGTATACCTAAAAAAGGTGGTTTAGAGATGTTCTAAAATAGGAAGGGGAGAACCAAAGAGCAATTGATTTTCACCTAAGCTTGAGAAACAGGTTTATGTTGTTCACCTCTTGCCACTCAGTTGCAATTAGGGGAAGTGGCTGCTAGTGGGGTATAAGACCAGGATGTTTTGGTTTTTTTAAATTTCAATCTATTTGTCCTTGTGATTACCAAAACGCTTTTAGTGTTAGGAGCTGACAAGTTCAGTGATGGTGTCTGTAAAGGAACACAGGATACGCATCCTTATGTATTTATGCTTGCAGAGGAAGCACAAAAAGTTGCAGAGAAGTAGTTAATTTGTTCAGATGCTGAAACTGGATTGTAAAAACATATTGTGGGACATCTTTCTTCCAGTCTCATCTCCCCATTAGAACTGTGGCTGATAAGAGTCAGGTGTCCTAACTTTTAAATTGTATTTATTTATCAAATTAAATAATGCCACCCATCTCAGAAAAAGTGACTCCAAGCGGTGTACAGCAAAGCTAAAAATTAATATGGTTACCAATACAGCTTGTGGAGCAGAGCTGCAATGTGTATTCTAGGAACACACATAACTACCCACAATGCTGCATTACATATCAGCTGAAGCTTCCAGATACTCTTCAAGGGCAGCCCATGTGCAGCGCATTATAATAGTTCGAATGGACTACTACTACTAGTAGTACAGTAAATTTAATCACATTGCAAGAAAGAATACCAGTCTTGCAGTTGGAGAAATCTGACTCCAGCCCTAAAGCAGTGGTTCTCAACCTTTTTAATGTCGCGACCCCAACCGGTCGTAAGTCGAGGACTAAACTGGTCGTAAGTCGAGGACTACCCAACCGGTCATAAGTCGAGGAATTTCCCTGCCCGGGAGCGCCGCACATGCGTGGTTCCGCCCCCTGCACCAGCCGAGGCGTAGCTGGCAAGCGGCAGAGACGGAGCAGGCCGACCACCAGCTGGCCCAGCCCAAGGGAGGTAAGGCACCTGCCTGAAAAAGGGGGGGAAAATGGACAAAAAAAATGGCGGACAAAAAAATGGCGGACAGCCTTGCTTGGCGACCCCCGTGAAATGGTCGATCGACCCCAAATGGGGTCCTGACCCACAGGTTGAGAACCACTGCCCTAAAGGGAATGCACTAATTTGTTGTGTCTTCCAAGTAATGGCCCGACATACCAGACAGAGTCACCGTCAGGGTCAGACAGGATTCTTTTGAGAGGATTAGAAGACCAGGGATGGAAATTGGTGTTTCTGCCGAGCACCATCTAAAGCATTTCTAAGCCAAAGGAAGAGGGAGAGAGCCAGGGAGCTGAATCAGAAGGGAGTAACAATAGCTCAAAAGAGCAGGCATGAGAAGAGGGGATTCTCCCTTCCTTTGTTTCTAGGTTGCATTTCTGTGATTTCTCGTAGGCCTCCCTGAAATGGGAAAAGAAGGGGATGGTGATGCTGCTGAAGAAGATGCCACTGAGCCATTAATTAGCAGCCATGAGAATGAAGATTTTGATGAGCAGAATTACACCATTCAGGCATCTAGCAGTAGTACAAATACTCCATCCCAGGCCATTGGATTCTTTCAGGCGTGTTGTCTGCCTGGCGTCTTATTGGTAAGATTGTTGTTATCATTACCTTACAGTGATATATTTTTTACTCAGAAACAAAGTCACATGGTATCTATAGGCACAAGTATTTTTAAGGACACTTTCTTGGTGCTCCTGATCTCCTTTTCCCCTCTGATATTTTTAGTCCAGAAATTTTTACTTAAATAAAAACAGAAGCTGGCATGCTGCAAAGCATCATTTTTATTTCTATGAATATCTTTAGATCCCACCTGGGACAATAGAAAATTGAAGAAAATGAACAGTGGACTGCTGCAGCCCAATTCTTAGTTTAGCAATAGGCCAACCGACCCCACCCCCTCAAAAAAGGACAGAAGTAAGTGAAGTGATAGACAACATCTTAGGGTGGTGAGGAGCAACCTAATTAAGTTTGCTTCCTTGTCAGTGTGTGGTTTGTGACTGGTTGTGCGCATGTCACCCTTGAGAACTCCGTTATATACTGTTAGACTTCCAAAAGTGTTCATCTGCTCCTAAAGTTTACCTACTCTAGTATTTCTCAATCTCAGCAGAGTTAAGGAATAGAATAGAATAGAATAATAGAATAGAATAGAATAGAATAGAATAGAATAGAATAGAATAGAATAGAATAGAATAATAGAGTTGGAAGGGACCTTGGAGGTCTTCTAGTCCAACCCCAGCTCAGGCAGTCCAATTCCAGCAACCGTTCTTTATATATTTTAACCTCCAGTCCCCTGATCATCTTTGTTACTCTTCTCTGCACTTGTATGGGTTATGATACTTCAAAGTCATAATTACCCTAACAACTGAACAGTAGCAATACCACTACTCTCACTTGTGCCCATCCCACAGCTTTAATAAAGTATATCTGCTGGCTGGGGAATTCTGGGAGCTGAAGTCCACAAGCCATAAAGTTGCCAAGGTTGGACACCCCTGTTCTATGCATTATAGAAAAATTCAAAGCCATGCTGGCTCAGCTTGGATTGTTTTGATTCTAATAGCTTTCCTTTTGGGATGGTATTTGTTTGTTTCAGTATTCCTTGGCCTATGCTTGCCTGAAGCTAGTAAACTATTCCTTCTTCTTCTGGCTGCCCTTCTACCTCAGCAACAATTTTGGTTGGAAGGAGGCAGAAGCTGACCAACTCTCAATCTGGTATGATGTTGGAGGCATTATAGGTATGACTAAGGAGCAAAAGGCAAATTATTTTTGTTATTTCATTTTCTGTTCATTGTGGGATTGGAACAGGATGTGGCAGGGTGTGGGTGGGAATTCTAGTTGGAAACTAAGTAGACACCACTTGTCTACCAATTAGTGACTGGCAGGCAAAGTGATTATGGATGTAGTAGTCCAAAGGATCTGGAGGATGTCAAATGTATTTATTTATTAGATTTTATCCTGCCTTTATTATTTTATAGGTAACTAAAAGCAGCAAACTTACATAATACTCTTTCCTCACACTCCACAACAACAATCCTATAAGGTGGGTGGGCTGAGAGAATGTGTCTAGCCTAACGGAACCTAGCTGGCTTTCATGCCTAAGACGGAACTACAACTCTCAGTCTCCTGGTGATTGGCCCAAAGTCCTCCAGTGGGCTTTCATGCCTAAGGCGGGACTAGAACTCGCAGTCTCCGGGTGATTGGCCCAAAGTCCCCCAGCGGGCTTTCATGCCTAAGTGGGACTAGCACTGTCAGTTTCCTGGTTTCTAGGCCACCACCTTAATCACTATACCAAACTAATTGCCTACGGCAGTTTCCCCATGCTTGGGCACTCCCCCATCTTCAACTCCTAAAATTCTTAGCAGTAGTGTTGCTGTCTGGGCTGTCAGGAAAGTTTAAGTCTCACTTTGGAGAACACCAAAATTGGGGGTGGGAAACGGTTTAGAATAGTGGCTGGAGAATCTTCAGTCAACACAATGTGTGAAAGACAGACAGCTAACTTTATAGCCAATTGTGCTTTTTAAATTTATTGATTAAATTTATATGCCTCCCATCTCACCATCAAATGATTCTGGGTAGCTTCCAACATCATAAAAACAGTAAAGTAATAAATGCTGATCCTTAGTGTGCACTTTTGTCTATAATGATTACGATCTGTTATGACAGTCTTTATTCCTTTTATTTCTACAGGTGGTACCATCCAAGGTTTTATCTCTGACATGCTACAAAAAAGAGCTCCTGTATTAGCTATTAGCCTCATTTTGGCTATTGGATCTCTCTTTGGATACAGCCGTGAGTACTTTTTTTGCACAATAGGTTTTGTGGCATGAGCTTGTATCTAGTCTCCTTATTTTATGCACTAAACATAGGGAGGCCCTCTTTTCTTTTATTAAATCAGCAATTGAAATGGGTTACAATCAACTCTGCTTTTGAATTTAATAAGAGATAGCATTCTCAGCAACCTTAAAAAAAATGGCAAGAAACCTGCTCAATAAGCTGGGCAGGCAAAACTCTGCAGCTAACATCCTGCTTTCATTAGTGGTCAGCCAGGTGCTTCTGGGAGACCCACAAACTGAGTGTTCCATTGTGTGTTGGAATGAACAGGAAAAGGAGAATGTTCTTTTCCAGTAGAGGGAGCTGTCTGCACTTGTGCAGATGTACCTTTATTGGAGCATCTCCTGTGTTCAGGCCATCTCTTTCAAAGCTGTGGGGTGGGCACAAGTGAGAGTGGTGGTATTGCTACCGCTCAGTTTTTAGGGTAATGATGGCTTTGAAGTATCACAAGCTTTAGTTGAAATTCATTGCTTCTATCATTTTGCTGGATCCCTATAATTTCTAGCATTGAGCTTCTGGAGGTTGCTCTCTTGATTTCTTTCTTTCTTTTTATTTCCCCTTTCTGGGTTAGAGCAGTGAGCAAAAGCAAAGCTTGTAATTATTTTGGAATATTGTATCTCAGAGATTTGGTAGAGAGTCCCCAAGTCTGCTCTTCCTGATAGAGATGGTGAAATATTGCACTAGCAGCTTCCTTCACTCATTCCTGGCCGCATTGCTTGATTAGATCAGTGCTTGGCAAAATACTTTTGCTGAATTCTTGCTTTCAGTAAGGTTGGGAACAAGCAGTTCCCTTCAGGTTTGTAGGTTCATCTATAAGAGGCTGAGGTCATTTCAGTCCAGTGTTCTTGGCTGCCTTGCTAAATGTTCTATTCCAGTTCAGGGAAATTCAAATAAATCAAATTTTAATGATCCAAAATTACTCCAGCAATTCAATTATGGACTAAACTGAATATAGCTAGCACAGAACTCCTCTTGCCTTCCTCATCTTTCTGTTTGTTATAAAGCTCCCCTGGTTTTGAGAAGGAAGCATATTTAACCATCAGTGAAGGCAAAATTAAAGAAACTCTATTGCAGCAGAAGATTAAGGCACTGTTAACATATCATGCCAATGCATAATCTTGAAAACGGTCTTTTATAATCAGCTTTTCATCTCATCCTGAGTTTTTTATCTGTGGCAAAAAGAATTATGAACTTTTCTTTTCTTTGTTTCCATAGGTTCCCCAAATAACAAACCTATCAATGCAGTTATCATGGCAATTACAGGTAAAAGATCCATGTATTTTCAGGGACAGTTAAGAAGATCTGTTTTCATAATGTCATATCTTGGCTTGTTTCAATGTTTTGTCAAGCCATAATCTGGCTTGTTGATCTTTGCCTAGTGTGATAGCTGAACCCAACCACTGTTATTTATAACCCAGCAGGTTTATAACAATATGTTCTATAACCTAATGGGTTACTCAATACTAAAAACACGGTTTACTAAAACATATGAAGGAATCATTTAAAGTCTAGTCTGTTACAAGACTATACTGCCACATCAATTAGGGAACACTGTAAATTTGTTTTTCCTTCTTCCAGAAGTTCACAATCAGCAGCTTTGGGAGAGGGAGGCAAACACATATGTGGATATATAATTTCCATTTACTAGGGGGAGACTAGACCATGAAAACTTAATGATGAAAAAGGTACGAGCAAGATTTATGAATGGGCAGTAGACTGGACCAGTGTTTCTTGGCAGCTTGAAGACGTGTAGATTTCAATTCCCAGAAATCTCCAGCCAGTGGGGAATGATTGTATGATTGTAAACTAACAATGACTGCAAACTAAATCAGCACATTATAATATTTCCACTGATGTTTGGATGCATGGCTGGTCTGACGTTTTGATAGTTTTCTTTGGTTAAGTGACAATGTTGCAGGTTCAGATTAAGATCATCTTGTGTTGTACTGGAAACAGAGCCCACCTCCTCCATGTTCTCATTCTTAGCTTCATTTTCCTTTTGATGTTTCATAGGCTTTTTTATTGGAGGCCCTTCCAACATGATCAGCTCTGCCATTTCTGCAGACCTGGGGCATCAGGAAGCGATCAAAGGAAGTAGCGAGGCTCTTGCAACTGTGACAGGAATTGTGGATGGCACCGGCAGTATTGGGGCCGCTGTGGGTCAGGTGAGGCAGATCTGAAAAGCCTTCAGGATCATTATAGCAATGAAAGAACTCATACAGGTGGTCCTTGACTTACAACCACAATGAAGCCTGCTCATTATGATTATAAATGTTGATGGTCATAAAGCAATCATCACACGAGAGACCCAATCTTACAGTCTATTTTTGCAGCACTCATTAAGCAAATCAGTATGGTCATTAAGTGAATCCGCAGTGGTTAAGCAAATCTGGCTATCATTAAATAAACCCATTGTTTGCTGTGGGCCATTTTTGCTGAAATAAAGTAAGTAAATGCCAGTTTTGCCAAAATTAATTGTGGTCACGTGACTATGGGATGCTGCAAACGGCCATAAATTTGGGCCGTTGCTCAGTGCTCAAAATGCAGTCATGTGACTGTGGGGGAGGTAGCAGTCCAAACTTTGGAATTGGGTTGTGAGTTCCTTTGTGTGTGTGTCGGGTATGTGTGTTGGAATCTGTTGTAATTTCAGTCACTAAGCAACCGGTGGAGAACGACTTGTACCGAAGCAAAGGTTTGGTTTATTGAAAATTTTAAGACCTGACAGGCTTTTCTTTTCAGCAACATTTCACTAAAGCGTGTATTAATAGTAGTATTTGTTACATCTCAAAAAAAGATAAGAAAAAAAGGTTAATTTAGAATGATGATCATCACCCCGGCTTAGAGGAAACATAGCTTATTGGGGAATTTTGGTTTAGAAAAGGATGCTTTCAGTGTATCCAGAGGACATTCAAAGCGCTGCGGTCGAATTCCAATCCTGAGCCTCCGGCTGACTTTTTCATACAAACAGTGTCTTTTGTGGTGCTGCTAACATATACGTTTGAAAGCCTGCTGTTCGGCAGATCTTCCCTACGACAATTGCATTTTTTAAAAGATTTTTTTTTAATCTTGCCTTTATTATTTTTATAAATAACTCCGAGTGGTAAATACCCAATACTATTTTTTTCCTCCTATTTTCCCCATAACAACAAACCCTGAGAAATCAGGTAGGCTGAGAGAGAGTGACTGGCTCAAAGTCACCCAGTCAGTTTTATGCCTAAGGCAGGAACTAGAAGTCACAGCTTCCTGGTTTCTAGTCTTGTGCCTTAACCACTGAACCAAACTGGCTCTCTTTTCCTTCACCTTTCCAGTCCATTAAGGTATGTGTGTGTGTGTGGGGGGGGCTGTAATGGGGAGGATAATGCATAAGAAGAGCCAACTTTTTTTGCATGTCTTGCAATGTTGCTGTCCAGGAAGATGGAGATATAAATCATTCCACTTTCTACTATATTTCTATGCTTATGGCTTTCCTGATTCATCTCTGTGTCACCTGGAAGAGAGCATCTTCCCTGTTTCTGCAGGGGGGAATGATTCTCTCTGGTTTGCGTAGTGCTTATAAGGCATCAGGTTAGAAACCAGGAAACAGTGAGTTCTAGTCTCGTCTTAGGCACGAAAGCCAGTTGGGTGATTTTGGACTAGTCACTTTCCTTCAGCCCTACCCACCTCATAGGGTTGTTGTTGTGGGGAAAATTGGAGGAAGAAGGAGTATTAGGTATGTTTGGCAGCTTAAGTTATTTATAAAAATAGTAAAGGCAGGATATAAATACATAAATAAATCTAGCAGAAATAGCAAAAACAGAACTAAAAAATACAGGATACAGAGAACAAAAGAACAATTAGTAGCTAGTTTGGTAAGATAGGAAAAAGGAAGACTAACCCTTTATGGACAAAGGAGAATAAGATATAACGAGGCAGGGAAGGAAGCCATGTTTAAATATTATAAATAGAATTAATATCAACCAGCCTTTCTCAAAATTAAAGATATCAATTTTTTAGCAGTAATGCCTTCAGCCTGTTCCAACTCCTGCTCGTTTCTTTTAATAGCATCTTAGCAAATGTAAGATGACACAATTCACAAGTCTTATTTAAGTTACGTAGATAGGACAGGAAGCCACTTTTTTTAAAAAAAAATAATAATAATTATGGCCTATTGAATAAGTGGCCTGCTTCTTGCAAAATATAAAGCTGCAATGCACGAGTTCACACATGACATGAAACCAAGGACAAGCGAGTGAGTCCCACTGTGATTTAGTGCTTTGTGAAGAAGATCAGAGTGTGTAGAATTATATCCCAATGCTGTAGGCAGGCCCAGGTTGCCAGCCCCACTTTTGATGTCATTTCCTACAGTGGCCAAGCAAGTCTTGAGAATGGGATGGGCCATAAATAGCAGGAAATGAATTAAAATGTAAATTCATGAATACAAATGTAAATACAAGAATAAAATCTGTTCTTGTTTATTTTTATGTATTGCCTTATAACAGTGTTTCTCAACCTTGACAATTTTAAGGCATGTGGACTTCAACTCCCAGAATTCCACAGCCAGCAATGCTGGCTGTGGAATTCTGGGAGTTGAAGTCCACATGCCTTAAAATTGTCAAGGTTGAGAAACACTGCCTTATAATGTTTGCTGTATCTAGCTGACGTCTCGCCTGGGGCATGGTCATTGTTAATGAAAAAGCTTTGTCACATCAACTTTGTGGTTTTTTTTTCAACTGTGTGCCTTCAGAGAACCCAAATGGGTTAGGGTAGGAACTACTTACCTGCTTTACTAGCCTGCTGCATTGCTTACCTGCAAAATGGCTCATAAGAACTGTTGTCTGAGTTCCTTCTCCCATTGGCTCCCTTTACGTGTAAACAACAAATATGCATTAATGTTTCCAAGTGAGTCTCTTCTGGGGGCTTTTAGACTAAGCGAGGTTCATTATGTTTGTTTCTATTGCCCAGTGTCAGATCTACAACACAGCGTCCCTTTCCGTTGTGGGGTTTTAAGATGGGTCGCAGAGGTGTTCACACAAGGAAACGCAGGGCTAACTTAGAAGCAATGTGAGTGCAATGCAGGGATGCGGTTAGTGCAATTGGCAAAGGTGTTGGCTTCTATCCAAAAGTGCTGGGGCTGGAAAGGGTATCTTTTGAAAAACTTGGCTTTGGGGGAATGTTGCAATAATGCATCGGCCACCCTGATTTGAGGGAGCATAGCAGTGTGGAATTCCTCTCGGCTTTCTTCTGACTGTGGAGTGCTTTTGCTCTAGGAAATTACTAATCATTTGCCTCATGACCTGGAAGCAACACAGTGCTTTTCAAAGCTATAAGACCGGCTATTGTGTGAAGATAACAATGGCGTATCTTCTGTGGAATTCATTATTCCTAGCCATTGCTATTCTCCAATTTTTCGAACTTCCTTTATTCATGAGGGCTTTGTGTCTGACAAATTGTATCCTCTACTTCCTTCTCTACCTAAGATTGCTGTTATCTGTGACAGTATATCACCATAGCAACCGGCTGAGATTCCACAAACTGGGCTGTCTCCCCTAGTGGGAAGTCAGCATCAGAAATACGTTGAACTTGTCAGAAAATGAAGAGCCTTAAAAGAATACAACATATGAAACATAAATGTGCCAAGGTTTATTCCAGCGGTTGAAATGAGTGCACTTTGGGCAAAATCTCTCCACAGCCATTTGAAATGATTTATGGAGGGAGATAAAAAAGCAGAAACATTATTTATTAATGCATAGAATATCCCAAGTGAAAATGTAATTTCCACACAAAAGTAAACATGACTATATTTTGAGCTAGTTTGTCTACTGTGCAATTGTCTAGCCTGTTTAGCTTGCAAGCTCTATTAAGTTTGTCATTTTTAACTCTTGGTGTCCCAATCTTTCTTTCAGCCATTCAGATTTAGCACCAAACTATTTATATAATTTAGAGGCTTCCTGATTCCAGTCAGGAGTTATGTGAAGTGATGGGGTTTTTCCCCCCATTCTGATTTAATTTGTGCTATTTTATGTGCCTCTCTCTTTTTTTTTTAATTAAAAAAAATTGGAGGAATGTGGAGATAGCGCAGGAAGAGAGCAGTGCTTCACCAAAGAGTAGCGATGTTGGTCTCTCATTAGAGGAGGCGGCATTTGGAAAAGATTTCCAATGTGAGATCACTGCTCTGATCTTGTGGAAGTCAAAGAAGGCAGTGTGTGGACTTAGACCGAACAGTTTATTGATTGTTTTGCTAGGCCACCTTTGAAGGACAGAAGCTGTCCCACAGGAGTTTGCCACAATAAGAACCCAATGAAAACATAATGTAATAGAATAATAAACCTTATGAAATATGCAGACCTCAGCAGCAGAACATTTATCCATCAGAATTTCAAACTGAAGCAGTGTTGCAATTAAAGTCCAGCTGCTTTTCCTTTAGAAATCTCATCAGCTCCTGGTTGGGGCATCTTAAGGACCATTTTCTCTCTTGGGCTTGCTTATCGGTTTCTATCCTGCTTCTCTCACTGATAGGTTCAGATGTGAGGAGAAGAAACGTGGGCTACTTTAGTAACTTCTGCCTCTGGAGAAGCTTGTGTAGCTCTGCCACGGTCTCATTTCTAACACTTAGATTTTTCAAAGGGACTTTCAGGAGAAGGAGAACTTTCCCCCCTGCTTCGATGATTATAAGATAGCATTTTCAAGCACACTGTTTGACATTCTCATAAAGATTTAGATTTGTGTGCCAGTTTTCTCCTACCTGCTGTGCTTCAGATATGATGGAGTAGAACTTGAGTTAGTCCACCTCTGAAAAGAACTGTGTGTGAAGCTTTGCTTAATATTGAAAAATTACTTAGAGAGGCAAAGGGGAGAGGAAGGGAAATATGTACATAAGGGGTCTGTGTGTGTGTGTGTGTCTGTCCTATATGTTTGTATACCCTTGTATATACGTATATGTAGACATGTATATGCACAGACGTATATACAGTATATATATAGAGAGATTTGTATGCATAAACAAAGTAATAGAAAAATAAAACTCAATCTATAGTATGCATTCCTTTAAGGACATAGGCTCATTGTGTTTTCTTTCCTTCTAGTACTTAGTATCTTTGATCCAGGAGAAGTTGGGATGGATGCAAGTTTTCTATTTCTTCATTTTGATGGTAAGAAGACATTACTTACCAAGAAAAAAAATCCAGATATGAATTTGTTAAGCAAGCAGATTAAAACTCCTGGTTTAGCATTATGTTAAACTGCTAGAGCGCGAGATGATATATTATTCTATTTACGTCAATGGGAATTTCTTCTGACTAAAAAAAAAAAAAAAAGATTGTGGCCCCAATGAGATAAAGCCAGAGGTAAGAGTCAAATAAAGGATGTCTTGATTGATGGCTCAATCTTTTCACTGTTGAATTGCTAATAGCTGGCTGGTGTCCAGCCACTTGTTCCCCATTCTGATGGCATCTCTCGAGGGAAACAGTTGTAGGTGAATATTTAAACATTTTGAATAAGGAGAATGAAAGACATAGTTTACATTCTTAGCTAAGTTCATCCAAAGAAGATGAAGGACAATCAAATCTTATAAAAGTTTTCAATATATTTTCAATTTATTTTAACTTTCTTGCCTTTTTAGCCTGGAAGGATTATATTTCCTCAGTTTCACAGGAAATAGCATTTATATGTATAATCTGATTGGCAACTGTAACATACTGAATATAACTTCTTCATAGGTTGCATGATATTCAATATGAAATAGTCCTCATGTGAAATTGAGATTGTATCATTGATAATGGGTGTAATTTTCAATCTCTAATTGGTCTGCCATCTCAACAGTCTGTATTTGAAGAATGTACCTCATAAGAAAACTGCAATCCTGAACACATTTAGAGGAAGTAGGTTAGTTAGATCTCTGACTAAGGGACCGTACAATAGCATATCTAAATGCATCTAAAACATCCTTTCTTAATGTGGATGCCCTCCAAGTGTGGATTTCAACTATTAGAATTCTCTGCAATAGCCATGAACTGGCTGGGGCATTCTTTGAGTTGTAGTGTAAACCACACTTGGAATACTGCATCCAGTTTTGGTCACCACGATGTAAAAAAGATGTTGAGACTCTAAAAAGAGTGCAGAGAAGAGCAACAAAGATGATTAGGGGATTGGAGGCTAAAACATATGAAGAACAGTTGCTGGAATTGGCTATGTCTAGTTTAATGAAGAGAAGGACGAGGGGTGACATGATAGCAGTGTTCCAATATCCACGGGGCTGCCACACCGAAGAGGGAGTCAAGCTATTCTCCAAAGCACCTGAAGGCAGGACAAGAAGATACAACTGCCATCAAAATAAGCAATATTGGGCCATTTGGGCAAACAGACTGATCAGCTATAAAGTCCTTCTAAGGGTACATGGGATGGCAAATCTGGATTTGCCTCTGTGTAGTGTTTCATAACCTCTAGAGCTAGTGCCATAATTGCATTGAATCATATTGTGCATCTGTCTTCAAGCTATTCATATCTTTCTTTTTGCAGACCAGTTTAACGGTGGTCTTCATCATGCCTTTGATAGTGAAAGAAACTAGTATGCTCCTTACGCAGAGGCGCTTGCGCAGGTTGGCTGGCTGACTCCCTTCTCTTTTCCGTTTGGTGGACTTTTTTTTTTCCAAGGGGGAACTTGGCATTTCAGGCCTTTTACATTCATTTCTTGATTTACATCCACAAAGATCGGATTTGCTGAAAGACTGCTGAGAAATGGCCACCAATACATTCATCACTGAAAGATTGTCATCTGAATCCCATCCGAAGATAATGCTATGGAAACCCACAACTGGGAAAGAGCTAATTGTGTGCTTGGAAGGCTTAGTGAGTGTAACAGTGAGAGATGTTTTCTCTTTGATTTTTACCTCTTGTTTCCAAGGCTTGTTTATGCAATTATCAAGATTAAGTGATAAAACATTGGGCTTGTGTGTGGGAGAAAGGTTCTTGAAAGCAGAAAGTGATTGTGCCTAGAAAAAGCATTTGTATAGTAAACCCTTGATTTAATGGATAGGGACCCGGGCAGGGGAAAGGGGTGTCTATTAAAGCTGAATGAGATTGTTCGAGGCCAAAATGTACCCATACATGAAATTACTTTAATAATCATAAGTGTTTGGTGTCGCCTTTACCTATGAAGCCATAGGTAAAAGCTATACCTAAAATATTTATACCTTTTCTTACAAAATACAGTCACCAACTCTTGTGAAAGAGTTTGAGATAGCCACTAACTGACCAGGTAACTATTTATTAATTATTATTTTTTTTAAAAAAAAATTATGCATGTGCAGCAGCAGGAAATATTGCCTGACCTGACTTGATCCATGGTTTGGGATGAGTTCTGATATTGCCTGAAATTCAGACAAAAATCCAGATCCAGATATTTTGTCCACTACATTGGAGATCCATTAAACAGAGGATTTACTATACTTGCTTTCTTCCTATTGTGCTCATTTATCGGTGGCAATCTGGAGGTCTTCCAGATGTTTTTAAACTTCAGGTTCCTTTGTGTCTCCCCATTGGCTCTGCTGGCTAGGGCTGATGAGAATTGGAGTTCAGCAGCAACAGGAGAGCCACTTTACATGTCCTGATGCCAACTGAAGATAATGTTATTTACAAAAGGAGAAATCCTTTAGATACATTGTCTTCCCCCACTTGCAAACCAGAGTGGACTCATCAAGAAAAAGCTTCACCAGGTGATGCTGGTGCCTTCACTCAAACTGACCCTTGTATATTTCTTTGCACTGTAATAAGTCTGGATCTTTGTGCTTTACCCAGCCACCAAAAAAGCCACCAAACAGAGGAAATGGGCAGCGCTCTTTGCATTTTACTTTGGTGAAGAGGAAAGACATTTCCATTATTTAGTATCAAAAGAGCATTTCAGAGCAGCCTGGGCCAATCCACTGCTGGTTTTTGCAAGCTTTTTGGTAGCTCCCTAACTATATTTTAAATATATATATTAAAACAGGGTACTATTGAAGCAGCTGAAATCCTTGGTGTCCTTACATAAAAAGAACATTTGTAGGGTGTTTGTTTGATCTCCAAATATTTGTCCTATCCAGATGTTCATGTTAATTTAACCTTCTCTCTCTAGCAGAGCAACTGCATTCCGTAGTTGATTTTTATCTTCTCTGAACTGTCTAAAATGTGAAAACAAGCTGAGTCTCTGGAGATGTGTAGAGCCAACTATTTTATACAGAAGGGTAGTAGTCTCAGTTTTACTAAGATCCTTACATTTTTATTAATTTTTTTAAACTAGAAAATGATCAAAAGCAAAAGGGAATAATTATTGTCATTTGAGATTGTTCACTATATACATTGGAGATCACTGTCACCCACAGATAGGCAGAGACCGCTTGATTTCTTTTTAAGGATTCCACCAAGCCTGATCCTTCCTTCCTTAAGACCCTATAATATACAATCTATGATCCTCACCAAAGGCACTCTGTGGGCAGAGCTTGCCATTACATAATGAGCATAGCTACTTCTCTCCCCCCCCCCAAAAAAGCAAAGCTGCATTGGTTACTTTTTCCCTTGTCTTTAGCCTCCAGATCAGGGGTGTCAAACTGCCAGCCGCGCTCACCCCATTGCCGGCAATGGCAAAACAGTCCCGATACGTCGCGTACCATCACGTGATGTCGCGAGTTTGACATGTCTGCTCTAGATCAGCTTAATACAAATCGAAGAATCATTATGCCATGAATAAATATCTAGAAATATTTGGTATAATGACCACAATTTGAAATAGAACAGGGGTTCTCAACCTTGGCAACTTTAAGACTTGTGGACTTCAACTCCCAGAATTCCTCAGCCAGCTTTGCTGGCTGAGGAATTCTGGGAGTTGAAGTCCACAAGTCTTAAAGTTGCCAAGGTTGAGAACCCCTGAACTGGAAGATGATATTGAGAAAATAAGACTTAAATTTAGGGCTGCTGTTTCGAGCACTTGTCTTACATATTAATGCACAGATCTGCCTTACAAGTTCAGTAATCTTGAGTTGGATCAGATAATATCTGCCTTACGCTCATCTATCTTTTCTGCAAGATGCATTTTCACATATTTCAGAAATTTCCAGGCAGGACCGTATTAGCAAGTGCTGTATTCAGTGACATCTATGGTACCCCAAAATTAAATGCAAAATGTTTGCTTTTAAATAGCCAAAATTTTGAAAAATCATCAAATTATATAAGATCTTAGTCTTTTTGTTCAAATTATATAAGATTCTGGGCATTTTAAAAACATTATTTTTAGCACCTCTGACGCAGCACTTGTTCTTGGGATAATATCTCCTGCCTAAAAAGCTTGCTAACTGTTGTGGAGGATACACTCATGCGATCTGATGTGCATCAAGCAGTCAGACCCCGTTTTTTTAATGTGGAATAACAATGATGTTATCCTGTGTTTATGTATTCCTCAGTTGCATACCCTCAGGCCTTATTCATGATGCCCCACTTGAATGTTTAATAAACAAGGCATGCTCTGGATTCCCACTGTACACAAGGGATGGATTTTTGCAGCATTATTGTCTGATCTAGCTGATGACTCTGTAGTTGAAAACAGTGGAAGAAATTGGGCACGTAATCTTCAGCACAGGCTCAGAGACCTTAGTAACTGGGTTCAACCAGCACAACTATCCAGATTCAAACATGTCTGTGAATGACGAAAGCATCACAGTGTTATCCTTTTTCTGAAAGTGCACTGTGCCATTGCATGCATGCAACTGAAACTTCATTTTTGTGATTCAATGTTTTGTGCAAATGTAGCCCTTTTAGTTAATTCACAGTTCAGTATATTGTGTGAACTCAGAAAACTGGGTTAATTTAAAAGAAGTAAAGTTTGTTATGTTTCAAGAACCGAAAATTTGATTAAAACTACAAAATGAGTTTCTCCAGGGTGGTGGGATCCTCAACTCAATTTTCAAAACTGCCTTTTACCTGCAGACTTAGATGTCATCTTGACCCCAAATTTCTAATGTTTGGTTGTTATTGAGATAAAAAGAACACTAAGCTAATTGTGAATTTGAGGGGAAGAAATTCTTGTTTTTATTTTTTAAAAACATTTTATATGTGCTTAATGGTTGTTTTCTTTAAAAAAAAATGTATATGTTCATGTAGATTTTTTAAATCATGTTGTGGCTGCTGTAAGTGAAACTTTTTGATAACTTAAGAGCCTCTTAATTATGTTGGTTTACTCTTTCGTGTGTTCTTTTGCTGTAATGCTGCTCTGTTCCATTGTTCACAATACACTATAGCCTAATTTATGAGCATTAAAAAACATTTCTCAACATCTTTATTTTTAAATTAGAAATCCACTCCAAGAGCAGAAAAAAATTGCAGTAAAAGCAAACTTTTCTTTCTTTCTTTTCTTTCTTGCTCCTTTCCACTAAGTTGTGGCATCAACGCTTTCGTGGTTTCCCTTGAAAAGAGATGCCCTCAACCTTTGACTTTTGTTTTTATCATTAAAATACTTTCTTTAAAAATTATGCTTAAATGATTTGAATTAAGCACGAAAGCGTGATGTTGAATTCTAGCCTTTCCCTAGTTAAAGAAACTTTTCCAGATTTGGGGACATAATCACTTTCCTCACTTCTGGTTTGCTTGATGGGAGGCAGCCCTTCCTGCATATTTTCACCATGAGAGAAGAACAGGAAACTTTATAATCACATCCTTGAATCGAAATGTGAGAGCTCAGGATTTCTTGGCTGACTGAAGGTGAAGATGGGCCAACACTCTGAAGCAGCAATCACCGATCTGGCACCTTTGAACTGTTAGACCAGGGGTAGGCAACCTTGGCTCTTTTATGCTGGCTCAGGAATTCTGGGAGTTGAAGTCCACGAGTCATAAAAGAGCCAAGGTTGCCTACCCCTGTATTAGACTATGCTTCCCATTGTCTCCAGCCAGCATAGCTAAAAGTTATGTGAGCTGCAGTTCAGTGCATACAGTATGGAAGGTTCCAGGTTTGCCAAAGTCTGTTCCAGGATATGGTAAAATTGGTTTTGATGCAGATTGCCTTCATTTGAAATACTGTATCTGCATGGAATGCAACTCACGTATGTTCAAACTATTTCTACCACATGGGAAATGTTTGTTTGCCTTTTGCCTGGGTAGCTGTTTAATAGAAATTGTTCATCTCAGCAAACACAATAAAAACATTTACAGAATTTTCCTTGCAAAGAGCCAATTTAGCTGCCCTGAGTCATGTATTAGAGGTGGGCAGCCGTATGAATGAATGAATGAAAAATAAATTAAAGGTTGTCAATAATAAATTCTTCATGGGGTGCTATGAAACGTTCTGTTCTTGGTAATACTTTAGATGCTTTCTCTTTTTATCTTGCATATTTCCACTTAAATTCTCTGTGAAAGTAAGTAGGGGAAAAAGAAATGCTGTCAACTGTCCAATTGAGTTTGATTTTATTAAATTATTTTTGGCAACAGAAAGATTCTGTACCTGCTGTTTATTTTTTACTTAGAATGAATGTTGCTTTTCCTCATCTCGGGAGTTGTGTTAAGTTGACCATAAAGCAAAGCATATTTTAAAAGTTGTAAAAGGAATACTTTCCATAAAGAGACATTTTTCTATACAGGGTAAGAGATAGTGATCATTCTATGTAATAGTTTACGCTCTGTGCCCCTAAATGTTGAAGGAGCATATATACAATAGAATGTATTAAAATGTGGGCATCTGAGAAGATGATCAGGAACTAAACATTAACGCCTGTGAAGAGACATGAAAGGAACTGGTATATATAAACTTGGGAAAAGATGACCAACAGGGACATGATAGCACTCCTTAGATATCAGAGAGTCAGAAAGAAGTTGCTCAAAGCCAGGATATAGAATAATGGATTTAAGTAGCAGGAAGCCAAACACCAACGGAAAGCCAGTATCTGTCTCTGGGATGTTTTTATTTAGGTTTTTTTGTTTTTTTTACTGAGCAGGGATTTGGGTTCAACTGTCCTTTTTAGCTTTATGATTATAAGGTGGTAATGTCTAGGACAGCGGTTCTCAACCTATGGGTCGCGACCGCATTTGGGGTCGATCGACCATTTCACGGGGGTCGCCAAGCAAGGCTGTCCGCCATTTTTTTTCCCCTTTTCCGGCGGGTGCCTTACCTCCCTTGGGCTGGGCCAGCTGGTGGTCGGCCTGCTCCGTCTCTGCCGCTTGCCAGCTACGCCTTGGCCGGCGCAGGGGGCGGAACCACGCATGCGCGGCACTCCCAGGCAGGGAAAGTCCTCGACTTACGACCGGTTG